ATTCCGTTAACAGATTAAAATTGTTTTATTTTCATTTAAATTAGAATAAACTGAAATCTGTAGGATCCCGGAACTTTTGGAATTCTGTGTGAAATAATTTGCCAGTAAAAATCAGAGCCAGCCGCAGCACACGAACGAAACGTAGTGCCTCGTTATGAAACCAGACAACTTTTGTGTTTTTATTCTCCAAATATGAAAAAAAAAATCAATTGAGTTAATAAATAGGCTAACGTTAAGAACGTATTATATCGTTTGTTTTATATTAATTATTATTTAAGATCATAATAATAAACAAGTCGCATTTCGATGTACTCCATGCTATGACCTTTATATAAAAATAGCAATTTTTACGAGATTACAAATTGTATCGCATTATTTGGTTCCATTGCCTCGCTTCCAAAAATTAGAACAGGCGCTCCAAAATCGTAAAACGAAGTTAAAAATTTTATATTGGCCGACTTCCCCCACTGTTAAGAATATCCTCGCAGCATTATCTGCAGTTAACCTTCCTACGATTTTCAATGTATTTTGCAATATAATTTACAATCCTCCAGATGAAGAATTTTATTAATCAAGAGTGGGGGAGGTGTGAAAATCCCCATTGGGGCCACATATAACACTATAAATACAATGGGAATCCCCTTAAAATGAAGGTAAAATAAATATTTTTCTAAGGAATTCAGACGGATTAACTTTTTACAACATAAAATCAATAGAACATTTCTAATATAAACTTTCAAAAAGACACCAGTGAGCTAATGAAAGAAAATCAACCAGACGGTAAACACCGGCAGGCTTTGTCAATTTCACCAATTTGTTCATTTCAAACAGCGCACTTTTCGCACATGCGCAGTTGTTTGAAGCCTGTGCTGCCAGCCGCAGGTTAAAGGGATATATAGGGAAACAAGATTACCGTAAGCTGGAACGAAACGCAGGGTACAGGCGTCATTACTAGTGTTTCTTTAATATTACACAAATACAACTAATATCAATTCTGATTTGGCTGTGATGCGTTCCTCTCCCTATTTGAATACTTTGTGAGAATGATCTATACTTTTCTTTCACACTGTCAGCTCTTTACTGTGCTTACTCTGCAAATGAACATTTATCTATCACTATTCATGTACCCCCCCTCTACGACATAAAAGATGTAATACTCAAAACAAACCGTGCCATATCACGAATGCATGTAGTTTTAACTGTACAATGCTTATTGCGACGCTAATGAGGTATCGCTGCTTATTTGTGTATCTTTTCATAAAAGTCGCACTTAATATATTTTTTAAAAACTATTTTCTATGCCGCGCCAAATCTTAAATTGCGTGACAGAAGTCCATAAACATGTGACCATGAACGCGCTGACAGTCGGCAGAGGGAGATGAGGGGCTGGAGGGATTCGACGTGTATATACCGTGTGCAGGGCGAATAAAACTATGACTGCATGGTTGGCCTTCCCGAGTGCTTGGCGTATTTTTTTTATCTTCAAAATGAACGACTCTCATACTAAGATTGCAAGAATGATCAGATAGCGTTTGGGAAAACACAGTTAGAAACGATATGTCCTGTTTCGAGCCCAAGCTTAATTCAAGCTTTGCTAAATAAAGTAAATTAAGTTCACAGCATATTTCACATGTATATACATGTACTTGAACTTATCACTTGTAGTGCTCACTAAAATGTCTTTTCCATTTAAGAAAATTTATTAAATTGGCGTCTGTAAACTTGAATGTGGGTTTGAAAGTACATCTCATCTGTAATTATACTGTAGTACGCGGTTGATTCATACAGCAAAAGAGAAAAAAAAAATATTTAAAGAATAAATGGGCTATGCTGGGGCCAAGTAAATCAAACGTCTCGGCCCATTTCCTTAAAGTTCAATTGAAGACAATGCTTATAAAATTCAAGCAAATTGCAGTTTATAAAAAGGCTGTGTCTTTATCAACTTAGCAGTATCTGCCTTGCGTCAATCAAGTAAAAAGCATAACAAAAACACAATGGCATAGAAAAAATGGGGAAAAAATGGAAGGTAATGTCTCAGAGTCCATAGTCTAGGTTAATTGTTGGTGTCCTCCAAGTCATTAAAGACGTATAACGCTATGTCGTATGGGTAAACGTTGTCACGCAATGCAAGAATGCACTGCATGACCCCTACCATGTGAACTTTAAAAACACAGCGTCTGCAATACTTAAATAAGGAGAATAGACTTATATTGTGCTTGTGGTTCAACACATGCCCTAAGTGACCACAGTTTCATTTTTTATTTAGGAAGTCAGGATGGCGAAATGTTTCTTTAATATTTTTCATTTACCGAGAGACAGCAGGTAAACATTCAGGATTATTCCCGAAGACAGACACTAGGAGACAGGCACAGGCATACTGCTCTGCCATCTGGCGGCTGTATACACAAACTACTGAACGAGACCTTTGAAATTAACTATAGAAACAGCTGAAACATTTTTTTAAAAATCAAAACTTAAAATTCACGGCAGCCACTGTTAATTACCCACCAACATCCTATATACGTGGTCACGGGTATAGATTATTATTGTGGTTTGCTTTGTAGTTGGCTAAATCTTTATACAGTGAAAATACTTTCCCGAGAGAAAAAAGTTATTACCAACTAATCATGTGGGGGAAACCTGCCGTGCGGCTCGAGCATGGATTGTACACTTCGAAACACGTGGTTGGGTTGCATAACTCATGGCTCGCTTCCTTGCCTGCATATTAATGGGGTGTAGCCATACAGACTGGGAAATGGAATAAAGCGGCGATAGTTCCTTTCGAAAGACGTGGCCTAGCTGCCACGGTATATGTTGTGGCACTGAAAAGACGCCGAGATTCCCTCTACGTTAGGGTGGTATCGTCATGCACCCTGACTATAAGAGAGTCAATGTGGAGGCAGACATGATTATTCAAAGTAGGTTTGAAATTAAACGTCTTTAAGTTAACTGTACGCAAAGTATTGAGCCTTAAGGGGAGAATTTTTGACCATTATCAAATAAATGGTAAAATGATAAAGTAATAATTATAGTATTACAGGCAGGATGCACAACTAGGGCAATTCGTGACAACAAACTAATATAAAACCGCAGGGTAACTCCGTACTGCCACGCTGTTCACTTCCGTTAAAACGGTGTCCCTACACGAACTGTTTTATACGTGACATTTACTGAAATTATTACCAGTGATGTATGGGAGGATGATACCGAAAAACACTAGCAAAGCTGTAAAAAACAATTAAATTGCCGTTGGGGCTAGACTGACTTTTTTGCCTACTGAACGTTTGGATGGGAATTTGGTCGAAGCTTTGTAATGATGGCTCATATTAATTTCCATACATTGTTTTATGCTGATTAGTTATTGTTGGAATATTTGTGGAAAAGCAGAGAGTTTCTGAAAAATGTGTTCACCCCCATTAGCTTCCAAAGTTGTTTACTTAATCAACTTGTTCTATTTTCTCAAAAGTTTGTATAATCCTTTCGAAGTAAAATTTTTACACAATTTAAAACTTTCACCAGATTCGAGATACAAGCCTAATTTTGAAAAGCGTACTTTTCAATTCAATTTCACCGAGTGTGTGTCCTCTCTGACGTTGACGCGTTTTTGTTCTTTTTTTAATAACCCTACTTCTAATTAAACAGAACGATGTGTTAAAAACACACATCCATTAAACTGTAATAAGTACCGATAAGCATTTTACTACTTTACGATTTTCTCTCTCCTTGGCATACTGCTAAAGCCGGTGTATCAGGTCATGTCATAAAAAGAATGAAGCCTACACCGAGGAACTATTGCCCTAAAAACGTCTTCAATATTACATTTTATTTCTTCTTCTTTTTCTTCTCCTTCTTCTTTCTTTTTCTTGAATGAAATTGGAACTCGAGTGAGAGGCGGTTTAGGGTACATGAAAGAGCAATTACAAAAGTGCCACTAACGCTTTGAAGATACGTTAGTTGTTTTTATCACACTCAAAATTCAACCAACCTTAAACCCTTCATTCCAATTTCTTTTACTGGTAAGCAATTAAATGCTTCCAAAGATAAATTCACAATGTAATGTATCCCCACAGCGGATAAAAGTGTTAAGATGCCAAGTTACATATCGTTAGTGACAAAGTCTTAAACTGTTCATCAAAGTGGTACCGCACGTACAGTTCCTATTATATTTTTATTACAACCTAAGTGGTGTCACCTTACAAGCTAACAATAATCCAGGGTCATTTACATCTCTATTTACTTTTCCGAGCCAGTCTCTCTCTCTCTCTCTCTCTCTCTCTCTCTCTCTCTCTCTCTCTCTCACCTGTGTGTATGTGGGGGGGGGGGGGGCACAAGGCAGTATGCAAAATATTTTAGAGCCCCTTTTTGAACCACTCTTGGGCACATAACGTACTAAACGTGGTATGTATTTGGGTTTAAAAATAGTTAATGTTGGGTTGAAAGCCTCGATAAACAATATCAGCCGGCTTTACACTCTATGTCTGGAGTTTTTGAAGCTGTTTAATTTACCTCCCCCCTCTCCACTTTGAGGAGTAGAATGCAGCAGCGGCATACCTAGCTCCCAGAATCATAATCCTTGGCTACCAACACTGTCGCGATTTAGTCGTCATATCTTTATGTTATTGATAAGCACGCAAACAACTAGAACGTAAAAGAATAGAATCCGTGCTACCGAATCTGGCGAACCCCGACAACAGCAACACGCGTGGCCTAACACGGGAACATAAAATTTGGCGCATTTTCCTTCGGGCCAAATCGCATAAAATGGTGAACTGCAAGGTCATATCTGCACCGGTGCTTTATTTCTAAAATAGACTGTGCGAAAAGAGACCCAACTGCATTTTAGCTTTATATGATTTGTAGAAGAATCACACGCCACCCTCTTGCATAAAGACAACTACACGGTGGTGCAAGACTTGTTTTATTGGGAAATCTGGCAAAGGTGTAGCATAAACCTATTAAACTTCAGTAGTTATGTTGAGTCCAAGAAGAATGATCCAAGATATATTAAGAGTTAGGTATTTTTCTTCCAGTAAAGCATTTAAGATGGGTATTGAGGGAGGGTCGGTGGTACATGGAAAGAAAAAACATTGAATCTCATAATGCTACTATTGGTAATATGCTCATAAAAGTTCTTTGGGAAGAAGGCATTTTACACCTTGCCTAGGTCCCCATATAGTCGGTAATGTCTGAGATTTCTTTGGATTATCATTATTATTATTATTATTCAAAAATCCATACTCGGCCCCATCTCGGCCAACCCACGTTCAATAAAGAAACCACGAGAAATGTCTAATGAAGTTATCAACATCCAGCCAAATGTCACCTGCAACGTCCGATCTTATGAGCCGTCGATTGCACCCTTGGTCCATTTATTTGATGAATATAAAATGGTTCACGTATACCGGAATGTCCTAACGTGACCGCTTAGTGACAATCTTAAGATTTTCCCTAGGGCCTATCACGTCGATATCTTTAAAGTGAAATAAAACTCGTTTCTCAATTAGAGTTTTCTTGGAAAGGGATAGGAGTAGCATGACTTCTTGAGTACAGTTAGATTATTAATGAGTGTTAATCATCTGCAAAGATCACTCCGATTTGGAAAGGAGTGGCTTTAAAACGCCTGTGCAGTTGGCTGCTTGTCAAGGTGACGAGACCCCGCCCCATTGGCTGTCTGTCAAGGTGACGAGATCCCGCCCTATTGGCTGTCTGTCAAGGTGACGAGATCCCGCCCTAATGGCTGTCTGTCAAAGCGAGAGACACCGCCCTATTGGGTGTCTGTCGTGTTCACGAAGCCCCGCCTTCGAAACGAACACTGATGGTACAACTGCTGCGTGATGTCGTATCTGTCAGGCTGCCATGGAGGTTTGTTAATGAAATCTTTTTATCAATAGATCCCACGCGTCTCGTGTGACAACTGTTCTTCTGGCACATATTGGTGTTGCTTGCCCACTGCCTCCGGTAAAGAGAGGCCAAAGAGCAATAACGACAGCTTGTCACCTTGGCTGCTTCTCAGTCGTGCTAATTACTGAATGGACCACGCTGCAGAGCTGGCCAATTCATTTGTCTTAATGGAGGCGGGTGATAGGTGTACGAATTTATACGAATTCTGATTACCATTGCTTTAGAGTCCTATGCTCTTGTTGATGAACTGTAAATTGATACGTACGTTTTTAAGTATGCAAAGTAGACAGCCCAGAGGTTTAATTTTGTTTTAAACATCAAAGTCATCGCTGAGGTGATACTTATAAGTGTGTTAAATAGATTTTACATCTCAATACTCGACGACTGCGGTCTCAACCACATATTTGAAACAAGAGAGGCATGCTGTTCAGATTCTTGACGTGTACGAGATATAAGAATCTAAACGAGCGTTTGACTTGGCGCTTGATCAAGTTTGAGAAAAGTTATTTTTTATATGGAATGTTTGTGACAAAAAATCTTAACCATTACATGTTTTACTTCCCGTATTAAAGCGAAAACATTCAACCCATATTCAATTTCAATAAAAAAAAAGCTGTCAATTAATACTAAAGGGTTTTAATAGTAATCTCACCAGGGTATACGTTATATTTTCTAAATCCTTACATTAACAAAAATGCATAATTAAGCTTTTGGTCGTGATTATGCCGTTAAGCATTATGTAATATTATATCAAAATTGACAAAATTTGGCAACCGTGTTACGTACGTATTAAGTATTATCTTCAAACCTACTGGAGTGATCCATAGCCCTTCGACTTCAAATGCCTGCTTTATTGGACCATTTTTCACGAAACACGAGGACCGCCTGGCACTGTCGTTGCAGGAAATGTTCTGTAAGCAAAAGTACAGCCTATAAAATACATAAGTGCAATGTAAATTAAAACCTTTAAAAGTACATCACCCACCAAACAGGTTTGAATAACAGTGTTCAGTTTTTGCTGTGACAAAAATTTGCGAAGAAATAGTAAAGTTGGCACTGAATATTTATCTTGATGTTTGTCTTAATTAGTTTTGGTTTTAAATGATTCGATGCATGGTTTTTGTTTTATATGTGAGTAGACAAGTCCTCATCAGTCTACATAGTGTTTTTCTTTATGGTAAAGATGTAACGCGGTTTAGTATATATCCCTCTTCACCCTTACCTTTATCATCTGATGACTTCATATATTTGTTCATGCCCAAGAGCAGGCATCTTTATAATTTACGAATCCCTGAATGTTTTATCTGGAGGAGCAAGAGATGTTGGTAATGCGGCGATGATATGACAGTTGTGTTATCTTCGACTTTCTGTGCCTTGACGCTATAGGCAACGTACTTGTGAAAAAAAAAATGCATTATAAAATGAACGTAAAAAAAAAGTTGGCACCAAAACAGTGTCTACTTAATAGGTAATTCGAAAATAAAAAAGCTCGTTGTGAAAAAATCAATATATTAAATGCACACCAGTACTTCAATTATATAACAGTTAGAACTTATCATGGGTGCAGCGGATTATGTGATATTGGAAAATAAAAGAGCGCATAAAATATGCAGGCTAGAACATCCATTGTATTCTCATTCAGATGTATCAGTTGGTACAAAATGCTGTGGCACAGCTAGTTGCAAGACGGGCGTGTAGACGTAATACGCTCACAGGCAAGTCATTTATTTCATATTAAAGGTATCTTGGGTACATTAGCACTTCTGTAAGATGGCTCAAAGTGTCCTTATGTTCATACATATAATTAGCTTGTAAACTCGTAAAAGTCAAAGAATGTTTCTAATAGTTACCTAGGGCTGGACATCGCTCGTGGGTTTGGTACCTTTGTAATTTGGCTGACGTTGACGTAATTAAACCACACAATTATTTTATTGTAAAATTACTCGTAGCCCATGATTTATTCAGTAGAGAGACAACATTTGGCAGGACGTAAGATCCAATATAGTATGTATGCAGAGGAACAGTCTCAATTGTTAGCATTGTCTGTAGCTGCCAAGCCTCATGAATATGGGTTCACTAGGATTTGTAACATTACATAAACTATGCACTGAAATCATACGATGAAAGCAAGCCACTAATGGATGAGAAGTGTTTCAAAATTCTTATGATGGCGAAGCGATTGATTCCCCCTCAAAGTTGTCCATCATTATCAAAGTCAAACTTCCCAGCTATTTATATATGCTAACATGTGAAAAGCATTATGAACGCTTGGTACCGTCCCATCCCTTCCCATTGACCAATCTTCCTAGAGACTTCTGACCCTCACTGACCTCTGTCCCTCTCTGACCTATGACCCTATAATTGACCTGACAGTTAGTAAGGATTGTCATCGTTGGCGACAAATTCTTCAAGAAGGAAGGTATGGGTTATTTTTTGGAACGTTATTTACAATAATAGTGGGGAATGCGCCAACATATACTCCTCTTTGTTCATTGTCATTTTATATGACCAAATGTAAAGAGCGTGACACTTAAGCACTTATTTTGTAATTCTTTTGGGTTCAAATTGAAATTATATATTTCAGTCCGTGTTTTCTGCTCGCTGTATCATGATGCATAAATACAGTAATCATACAATTCTGCTGCTACTAGAAAAAGCCAGTGATCTTCTTTATGTAACTTTTCTCACCATCACTGGTGACTGTTGTGCAGGGAACGGTAAGGTGTAGGAAATACAGTGTTCTTTTTCCTAATTATTCACACTCTGAAAGTGACTTTGTACCCGATGTCAACACATAAAGTATTATCAATGTAAAGAATCCGTGCACAAAATGAAGACAAAGCATAATGAAACCGACATAGATGTAAATCGTAAAGTTTATGGATGACTTGGAAGTTCCGAACAATACAGTGGTTCAGAGTATGGAGTATTTCTCACTAAAATTCATATCTTTAGCAGTGCTAAATAAGTGAATCTGTTGATGAGTATTTCCGCAATAAAATGCACCAGATACAACTGTTTCCTTTCCCAGGCTGTTGTAATGTCTGCATTCCCCGCAGCTAGAAGAGGCACATTTTGCGTACAATTATCATCCAGTTTAATGGCTGGGCATGAAATTAAAATTAAATTACAAACTACTGTATAAATGAGTATACAAATTCAATTATTTGAGGTATTTTTTACGACCGAATTCTACACAGACCATTATTGAACATTTAATGAAAACATAATTCTATACAGAAGTTAAGGGATCGTCAACGATCTTACTTTGTATATTTTAAATAGATTTTATAGATGGATATTCATATGGAAGAACCACAGAGAGTGAACTGGACAGTGCCCAAATTTCACTTCGCCCCTCAGAGGTAAACATAAGTATTTAGCACGCGGCTGGCCAGCAACCACATTCACCCGCTCCTAACTACAATATCAATGGTACTGCTTGAAGGCGCAAAACCTTTGAACATATTAATCGCCAACTTCTCATGCCGCACACGCTGCAGAGAGCTCAAATTATACGGCATTTTGACGACTACGCATCCGCCATTAACCGTCGGCCCATACGAGTCACGTAGCAGGGACATTATTGCTTCCAAACGGCAAACAATGCAAGCCTCGGGGCCTATGCCTTTGGTGGGTACGATCTCACCGGTGAAGACAGTATGTATATATATGCTTGCGTGAAGCCAGCAAGAGCGCACAATCGTCACCGTCAGGAGAAGAGACAGGCTGATTTTTTGCGAACTCTAGTTCCAAGGTCTGAGACAGAATCATCATGATTTTTGCAGTGACATTGATTCTTGCAGTTGGGTACATTAGTGCCAGCTCCGATCCCTATGGATCAAGTAAGTAATCCGTATATCTACTAATTCTCAATAATGTAGGTTAATTTAATCGCGGCGGTTTTCGTTCATTGGGTATTGGTGGTTGATTCTGAAGTGAGCCGGCTAGCCGTACCCAATCTAAGAGCTTGCGTTGCGTTTATATCATTACTTGCGTCTCAGCAACAGCGCTCAAAACAGCATGTGGGGTTTCCTCTCATCTGTTGATTTTCAACTGCAAAATTTTCTGTACTCGGCTCAAGGCTCGAAGAAATATTTCACGGGACCTTTGTCATTGCATACCAAATGCCACAAAGTTGTTTTACAACCTTGACGCCCACTGTGTACCTTATATTTAACCTGTTTTAGTGTTTTTTTATAAATATTTAATTTCCATACTTTGTTTATTGTGTCATATAATTGTGGCATTTCTTTGTTCCATAAAATTTTCACAATTTGCTTTGATTGAAATATAAGGGGATATCTACCAGTGCTTCCATTTGGGTTATTTCTTGTAAAAATCCTCCATGGGCAAAGATGTAAGGATTTGTTCAATGTTTTCGACAGTGCAACAAGGTCTAAGCTTTGTTTAAAACGGTGACAGCTAAGTTAACCTGAATTGTTTTGAATTTTACTACAAAACTAACCTGTCTGTCCCTGACCTCAAAGTTTAGAACATTTCACATATCCTTTGCACGACAGAACCAGACACTATTTAGGAAAGAAAAGTAGAAGTCTAATCTGCGAAATTTTTCACACAAAAATGGAAACCAACCAACCAACTAACCAACCAATCCACAAACAAACAAACAAACAAACAAAAACGATCACATGACTAAACTTGCTTTTTTATTCTTTTTTCCTCTTAGACTGTTACAACTGTGAGTATTCGCTGAAGCAGAGCGGTTACGGTTATGGCGGCCAGTCTGGCTATGCCCAGTGCGCCAACCCTGACGCCCCAGGTTCCGGCGTGGACGTCTGGGCCTGCAAGAGCGGAAGATGCTTTACCAGATTCGATGAGTACAGCAAACGTGAGTAATCAAATTGTGTTTTGTCTGTCTGTCTGCCTGTCTGCCTGCCTGTCTGTTTGTGTGCCTTACTGCCTGTTCGCCTAACAGCTTACAGCCGCCCGTTCCAAATTTTTCAAGCCTGTCGGTTCATTGGTCCGTCGGAGTCTAAAGCACTTTTGTCCCAAAGCAAACTTAGTTGCTTTATTCTACTAGTATATAAGTCTGTTAGGTATTGTAATTTCAGCGAAAGTATCGTTGTCTTCAGCTACTACAAAATTATACTCAGCACGGGCAATTTTCGGCCAGGAGAGAGAGAGAGAGAGAGAGAGAGAGAGAGAGAGAGAGAGAGAGAGAGAGAGAGAGGGAGGGGGCTACAAAGTCACAGCATATTCTTTGCATCCCAACTAACACACCTTTTTTTTTCATTTTTCCAACCAGGCGTGACCCGTGGCTGCTGGTCCGGCGAAGTGAACGTGAACCCCTACGCCTACGGCTGCCAGAAGCAGTACGACGGTCAGGTCTGGTGCTTCTGCGACGCTTCCAGCGGCGGCTACAAACCATGCAACAACCACCAGTGTGACGCTTACGGCTGCCGTGACAACCAATACGGTAACCAATACGGCAGCAGCAGTGGATACGGAAAGAACCAATACGGCAGCAGCAGTGGATACGGAAAGAACCAATACGGAAGCAGCAACCAATACGGAAAGAACCAATACGGCAGCAGCGACCAATACGGAAAGAACCAATACGGCAGCAGCGGCGGATACGGAGGATACCAAAGCAGTGGATACGGCAGCAGCGGCGGATACGGAGGATACCAAAGCAGCGGTTACGGACAGGGCAGCCAATATGGATATCCATCTAAAAGTCAAGGCTACGGCAAGCGCCATTATTAAATACAGGTATGACGTCAGCATTTTGTCGCTAGCAAAACAACAATATATAAACGTTTTTCGTATTTTATTTTATAAGCGGTGTGATCTTACAGATATTTTTTATTCTTTTGAAATGACATTTAGTCATTTGACACGTTTTGTTATGTATAAAAACATACTAGGACATATAATTTCACTGCAATGTTTATAGTTGTGCCTTTTTATGTTTGTAACGGTGCATGAAACTGTCGTCTCACCCCTACGTCAGTACAAAGTAGCAAGTGACCATATGGTAATTAGTAACATCAAACACAATGACATTGTCATTTCTTTCTCCTTTACCTAAAAAAAAACCATCATCGTTCCTTTATAACTCTCATAATTTTTACATGAATTTCAAGATTATAGCTAAATTTACTAATTGGTTGTTATCATGACGTCGCTGGCAATGAGCATTGGGATTTTTTTTGTAGTGAATAAGTTCGTTAATGTATTTGCAGGCACTAATGGATGAATATGAGGCCCACCTGGAAAACAGAATGAAAATCCGGTTAAACAGCTACGTTTTATGGATGAAGACGATCCCTCCCCGACCATGACGTCACAACGTTGACATTTTAGGTGGTGGCGTCATGTAATGCTTATTAATCAATCACAGCTTTTGATCTCACGCATGATTCCAGGAGGAATATCAACTTGAGAATTATGTTTGATTTTTTGAGATTATGTATTGAACTTGCTTGATTTATGGCAAATAAAACTGCATTTCAATTATATTCGGTAGTTATAAAATCAGTCTATCATACGCCATGTGTTGCATTGAAGCGAATAAAAGGAATCTGGTTTTTGCAATTGTTTGAAATTGACTATTCCGAGAGAAATTTACCGAACTATGAAACAGCTCTCATTTAAATTCGTCTCAGCTTTTTTGTACAATTTTTAAAGTCTATCATAAAGTCTGGTTTAAGTATAATTTGTGAATATTTATATTAAAAAGTAAAACAGATAAATAACTCTTTAATGTGCTGTCTCGTGACGTCAGTCAGAATATCCTCCTCTTTGAAAGTAGTAAGAGCTGTAAAGACTTAATCATATTCCTTACAAACCAGCTGCATGGTTAATAAATGAAGGAAAGTGCAACGAAGAACTGAATTGTGATGTGCACTGCAAATATGTCTATCAAAACTGCTTCGTAACAAAAAGGGAACCAAAATTAAATGGTTTAAGTACCGAATAGTTGATACACTCTTGCGTGTGTGTGTGCATGCGTGTTATTAATTTATATCATTTCAACTTACACTTTTTCTTCAGAAGAGTCGCACTAAAAATAATATCTCCCTCTTAACTAAGTCTGGAGCGAACAGGACTTATAAATCAACACAGCAGTAATCACTCATTCAACTTTATATATAACGATTTCATAAAATTGGAATACACAGGTTTATAACGGTACATTAATAATGATATGTTTAAACCACAAACATGTAGGGAACGTGCGTGTGCTATTATAAGACACAATAATATAGACTCACAGTTCTATACAATACAACCGGTCCAAATTAGTGCTCTTAAACCCATCCTTAGTCAAAGTGCTTGTATCCGTAGATGAAATTTCCAGTTTGCCCCACAACCAAAGTTGCACTTGCACACATGCAATTATGCTGTCCTGTAAGCTTTCAGGTTCCTTGCCGAAGGTTCGGTTGTTTCTCCCGACCACTTGGGCATCCAGAGGTACGGGATTAGGTCGGCTTTCCCAGGGAAAAAGTCCTCAAAGAGGCGACGGAAGTAAAAGGCCTCTTTAGATTTCGGTGGATTGTGGGGAAACTTACGGCTGGCGTTCATCATGTCTGCGTCAGTGACCTGTATGTATAAATGAAGGATTATTTTTATACCACAAATTATTAACACCTTTTCCTTCCTCCCCTCTCTCTCTCTTTCCTTCCCCGTCCTCTCTCTCTCTTTCTCTCTCTCTCTCTCTCTCTCTCTCTCTCTCTCTCACACACACACACACACACACACACACACACACAGTCAGAAACAGACTCGCAATAGAAGTCGGTTTTACGTTCACTATTTACCTCAGCAAATACACGCTGACATATATATTTCACAGGCCATTGTGTTTTTCTTTATTCCAGAAATGCAGTTGCTGAGCAATTAAAATAATTTTCAACGCAATCTTCTCTGGCACAATACATGTATACAGCGCAACTTGAGTCCGTTTGCGGACGTAAGCAGGCGCCTCTAACATAATGATAACACCAACCTTATCGTCGGTGAACTCCCGCAGGATGTGATGCCAAGAGCGAACATTAGAGGAGACGCCGTCACTAAAACTCTCCTTGGGTCGCCACAGCGTCTCACGGGGCAGGAGTCCCGTTGCGTCGAAGGCCGATCGGAGCAGATGCTTCTCGATTCCGTCGACAATATGGCGGATGTTGGGGTCCAAAGAGAGAATATAGCTGGTCAGTTCATGGTCAAGAAAAGGTAGCCGCAGTTCTAAACTGAAATGATTTATTATACTTGTTTGATTAAATTAAGAAATTATTTAAAGGCAATAATCGCAAAACAGGAGGACATATTTCAGCGGAAACTGACGCGGCTTATTATAAATAAATAAATAAAAGTAGAAAAATAATAATTATACATAAGTGATCTACGCAATATTCATAATTTTCGACGGTCATTGAAACAAGTCCCTACCCAAAACCGGAGATAATCCTATCACCACGTAACACGTCAAACAGATAGAGATCCTGAAGAAGTCGTCTGCTCTCTCTGTCCGCCGCCTTTACATCCGGGGCGTTATGGAAGTATATGTACCCCTGGTAAAGCTCGTCTGCGCCCTCGCCGGAGAACACGACTACTGTATCTGTCTTTTCTCTTATGTACTTGGCTACGAAGTAGAGCCCTATTTGAAAATTAACGCACCGTTATCACAAATTTGTTAATTTAGAAAATCACTAAAATGTCACCAACCATGCGTATGGACACAGGGGCAGATCATGTGGGCTCTTTTCAGGGATCCTGCTGAGAACGCTAAATCAGATCTTTCCGATTTTTCGATCAGAATTCGATCAGACTGTTCTGTCCCTGATACAGTGATACTGATATGATGATAACAGATAATGGCGTCACAGCTGCATAAAAAGTAGACTCACCAACTGCTCCGCTTATAGTGATTATGTCAAAGCTATGCAAAAAAGGATGACTCACCAACAGCCCCACGTATAGTGATGATGTCATAGCTCTCTAGGTGATACACCATGTCATTAAGGGCGGCCAATCCTTCTTCTTCAGAGAATATGACCTCGTGATGTTCTGTGCCGAGGTATTCAGCTACCTTAAAGAGAACGGAGGAATGAAATGCACTTACTTTCAATTAAAGGAAGGTAAAAGAAAAAACTTTGGGTGCTATAGAAAAATTAAATTAAATTAAAAAAATAGCAAATTAGCAAAGACTTGCACGTTTTTTTGTTTTTTTTTTCTAGTTTTGCTTCTAGTACAGTTTTTTTATGGGGTGGAAGAGGGTGAAGGAGAAAAAGAGTAGGAGAAAGGGGTGGCTCGGAGGTCAAAGGGGCTTGCGCGGCATGTTCGCTGTGCATTGTTATCCAAGATGTGTTTCCCACCTTGCGCGCTGCTATGATGTCTGTGCTGCCCGGCATGCCGGCGGCGAACGTCTGTATGGTGTAGTCTATGCCCACTTCTCTGGCGCTCTTCACAACCAAGGCGGCAACGAGGCTGGAATCCACGCCACCTGTAGGACATAATGATACACATTGTGGATGTCGGAGTGACATGTAAGCTACATTTCTATACTTCAAAAAGGTTTTATCATTTTGTCTTTTGTAATTACAATAAAAAATAAATATGTGAGTTCAGCCACTGCATCGGCCAACCGAAAATCATAAATTTCTCAAAGGAGGATATTGGCAAAGCGACAGGATAATGAACCGTGACCAAGGCCTACAGCGCCTCCCTCCTCTCCAATCAACGCTAACATCCTTACATCCGGGACTCACAGCTACGTGTCAGTCATGTGATCATGGTCTTTTGAGGAAGGGTAGAAACTTCACGCTTCAAAGGTAGGGAAAATACGTTTTTTAACTTTTTTCTTTTTTCTCCTCATTACGATTTACTTTTTTTATCAAAAAACTGTATAAACCGCATACAATGACTGGATTGGCGACGGGTAATTGTGGCGGTGCGTCTATTGTTTTTAAACTTTCTGTTAAGTCTATTAAGGTGAAAATATTTATATTCATCACCCTGCGCTCCTATTTCCATTCACAGTGATCTTTTTTAAATATAAATACCAGATAGTAGACATCCGATACGCCGCTGAGACATCAACCTTTTCTTCACGGCCGCGGTCATTAGGTTGCGGACATTGGCTAGCGGGTCGTTTCCTGTAACATCAAAATACAGGTTTATTCACGTACATTGGACATTCTGGCATTAAATTTCATCAGTGCGTCACAGCTTTGCAAACGTTTTAGTATTAAAGATTATTTAATATAAAGGTTTGTTATTCGTTGACAGTACACTAGTGATAATAATAATAATAATAATAATAATAATAATAATGCTGTTTGTGATCTGAATCTATACTTGAGATAAGCTAGGGAATCTACTATTATTTACGGGAGGCAGGCTGACGTAATCTAAGACACTATATATATAGAGCGATACAGTATTATGGCTCGACCCAGTTTAAAGGCCTGATAAATACGTAAGAGAGATTTTGATTGGCACGAATTGCAGCTAGTAAGAAACATGTAAAATAATAACATGTTAGGATCAGTCAAACTGGTCGATACAGCAAACTGTACCGCTGCATGTGAAAAGTTTCTTCTTCTTATAAGAAATAAAAAATAGTCGCACATCATTAACAAAATTACCCCCCCCTCTTGACTCCAACCCCGCGGGAACCCCTGTGCTCATGGCGGCACAAACTGACCGAGAGGTTCCGCTATGGTTTTGTAAACCGGTGGCTGTGCCTGGAAATGAAATCGCTCCCGGTCTACCAGCCTGGCCTTGTTGTCGTCGTCCAGGAGATATTCTTCCGTGTGACCAGGCGACAACGCTTCAATTGTACTAGCTGCGCCGTTGTGGATGAGATTTTGCAATCCTGGAATATGAAGAGGAGTTACGTGTACAACATATGAACATGTGCTTTGTGTTTATGACACCGGGTAATTTAGTTTAAAAATATTTCCGACATGACAGCTCGTGATTATTTCTGTTATTTGACTCTGAAAGCAGAATTAATTATCTTGCAGTGCAGCCTGCGCAAGCCTCTCTACTGTGACACTCTTAAATTCTCACTCCACGTATCAAAGTCCAGCCAAAATATATAATTGTATAAACTTTCACCTTTGATTTCGGAACAAACAGCCAGAAATCCGTCCTCTGTGGTCAAGCGAAAAGCTGGACGAACGCCAAACGTATCTCTGCCAAGGAAAACCCTTCTCTTCTCTGTATCGAATAGACAGAAGGCAAACACGCCGTCGAGGTGCTTAGCAAGAAACTCTGCACCGCCGTGGTTGTAACAGTGCAAGATGGCTTCCCCATCACAGTTGGTTTGGTACTTGAACCCGAATTCTTCCTGCAACTGTTGTGAGAATGAGAATACTAAACAGTCTCATGGTCCATAAGAACCTGCATGCGCTATGGTAATTCAGTAAACTCAATAAATAAATAAATAAATAAATAAATTAACAAGGCAGAAAAGCTGTCAAATGTACAGACAAAAAGAAGGAAAAATCAAAATAGGGTACAGTCAATTCTGATGCAAAGGTACATTATGTTAAACTGCAAATTCAACATCAAATTTTAATTATGCTCAACAGGTAATTCCAATGTAAGTAAAATGTGTAACAAGCATAAGGCTTCAGCCCCATAGGAGTTCAAGTTCACACTCTGAAAATGTATAACTTCCAGCAAAAAGAAGTCAATTAGACTGCTTTTCCAACTCAGGCTGCATTTTAGTCCTGTGTTTCTATTTTGAAAGTTTGGCAATCATAAGTAACATGGTTTTCCCATAATGGTTTTCATGGCAGCAGCACCTAAAATTGTGTGTTCTTCTATTCTGATGCAATATTACATAATGGTTAACAGCATAATGACAATCAATTTTTAATAATAAAATAAAGGTATCATGGATTTTCAGAAAATGTGACTAGCATGGGTCTTCAAGCCTGTGGAACTTCAAAGTCACACCTTGAAAATGCCAATATGTGAAAAATAAAACTTTCACAAAAAAACTGTTTCACCGGCAGAAAGAATTACCAAACAGATTGCATTGCCTACTGAAGCTGTATTAAAGTCCCATGTTTCTTTCTGTAAGTTTGAGAACAGTAAATGACATGGTTTTCCTTAAATGGTCATCATGGGAGCAGTGCCCAAAATAGGTTTATTTTCAAATTTTGATGCGATATTACATAATGTTTAACAGCATAATGATCATCAATTTTTAATAATATCATGTATATTCAGAAAATGTGACTAGCAAAGGTCTTCATGCCCAAGTGACACCTTGAATATGCCAAAATGTAAACTAGACAGCACTGTGCTGAAATGGGTTTATTTCCATTTTTAACACTTTTTTAATATAAGATGAAATAAACAGTTTACTGCCATTTTTATATGATCAACTAAGAAAATTGATGTGATGGGACAAATATCAATAGAACTGGCCCGATTATACTAATTTTCAAACTCAACCTGCATTTTAGTAAGATTGACCACTCCTGTGAGTTTAATGACAATTGGTCTATCTGTTTTTCTTATATTGTGTTTACAGTATTGCATATATGCTAAAAAGTGAAAAAACAGCATAACTACTAAAATAGTGGCCCGATCATGCCGATTTTCGAACTTGACCTGCGTTTTAGTAAGATTGATTACTCCTATGAGCTTCATGACAACAGGCCTATCGGTTTTCCTTAAAATGTGTTAACAGGGTTGCATATATGCTGAAAAGTGAAAAAACAGCATAACTTCTACAATAATGGCCCGATCATGCTGATTTTCGAACTTGACCTGCGTTTTATGAATATTCATCAGCTCTGTAAATATAAAGCCAAAAAGTAAAACTGCCCTCCACTTATCGTGTTAACAAGGAAAGTGCACGGCGCCGGCATCGGCATCGGCGACGACGGCGACGACAGACGCAGGTGATGGCAATATGTACAGACACATCTGTGTCTGTACATAAAAAGGCATAGACCATATCAATTTCGTAATTTACCAGAATTGCAAAATCGACATCTCAGATGCCTTGTTTTTTGGGGCGTACTGAATTACTACCCTCTACCAGGGCCGCAGTTATTATTCTGTGTACGTTTTTGACAGTACAGAGATATAGCCATCTATTTAGCTAGAGACATATCTCTTCATATTTAGTAAAAAATCGATCTGTGGCCCTGGTAGTGGGTACTGAATTACGCTCAAGCAGGCTGTTATGGGCCACGGTAAAACAATATGCCATTTGTCATAGAATGTCACTGCTGGGCCCGTGCCAAGAGAAGTGGCCAAGGATTAAAAAAAATTGCCGAATGACGTGAGGCAAATATAATGAAAGATATTGCACGAGGTCAAGGTACCTGGACGACCAATGTGCTTGGTTTTGTCTTATCTCTCATTTTATACTTTTCAATATTAGGTGCCAGCTGTGCCCGCTGACAGATTAATGATTTATCATTTATCTTATAAGATTTAAACCGCTAAATTATCGAAATATTTAACTATAACGTTATAATGTATATCTTATTCTTACCAATTTGCAATTGTAAATTTCACCGTTGTACACCATCCACAGGTGCGGCATACTGCGCACTCTCATCGGCTGCATTCCAAATACGCCATCATTGATGGCAAGATGGTGGAAACCGAGACAGCAGTTGGTAAAATGGTTGATGGTGGTCACACAGGAGGCGTCTGGACCGCGGTGGGATATGGTGAAACTGTTTGGTGCCTGCTCTGAGATTTTGGCTTCGCTGCCGAATATCGCCCATATGCCACACATCGTTGCTTCTGCAAATCAGAAAAATTGTCACATTTTTCAAGTGGAATCATCTGTCTCGCCGCCTGTGCCATGATCGACTGTTTATAGTATTGCATAAAGAAGAGATAATCAAGATCATCAAGCGATGTCAAACCGTGTCAGTGCAAATGACTAAGCGTTACACAATATGTGTTTGCCAATGAGGAATTGGTCTCCAGATTTTATTTCGTTTCTGTTGGAATCCTCAGTATGCCTACGCAAAACTAACTTATCTACAAAACCGTTGATTAGTCGCATTCCTTAAACCTTTTTCAGAGTTCAGTTCCTCTTGTTTCGCTTGAAGTATTGACCGACACATACAATACTTCCAGGATCGATAGCTTTATAACGGGCATCAATTAGCGCCTACTAATGACATAGAACTTGAACGCATTAGGGCATTTGTATAATGCGCATAAAATATTAAAAGGCAATACATTAACAAGGTCAGTTCCATGGCGTCTAGAAGACACCCTATGCCCGTATGCTGATATTAAAAATTAACTCTCACTTCTTATCTAATATTGGGAACTTTGTCGCCATATTTTGAATGACTTAATGGTGGCTTATTAGATATTCCATTGGTTCGAAAATTACAAAATGCTACATCGTTATTTCATAGCTAGCTCCAGATAGTAGAGTCAGAATACGCCAACTAATTGTGCATTATGAAAAGTAAACAAAAAAACGTAAAACACAAAACACGTGTACAATACCGCAGTAAAATCCGTTGCTAGGGTGCTCTGAAGCTTAACTTTTCCAAGAACGCCAAGAACTGTGCCTTTAGTGCGATGCTCCGAGGCAAAGAAAATGCTAGCGACTGGTCCACTACAAAGGCGGGGTGAATGTAAAATTTTCCGCTAAGACCAGGGGAATTTTCCATGACCAGGCTATTGGACAACAGGCGCGGAATTTAATGACGTAACCCACTTTCCACTCCTCAATGTGAATGCCCCATTGCAGGGGACCCAATAACATCAGCAACATTTGACGAAGTTCCCTTTTCTTAAGATTATTGCATCCCATTGGAAAGAGAGTGCAGGACAAAAAACTTAGATTTACTGAAATTTGATCCAAAAGTCTTTATTGGACCATGGGTCTTTAAAACGATAGGTATGGAAAATAGACGGCACACCACCAGTATTTATTGATCGAGCAATGAGATGCATGTCTTGCTGATTATTTATTTATTTGTCTGTTTATTGCAGTGTCACGTGCCGCAGTAAATATTAACAGACCCATCCCATCGGGCTTATGCGCTGTACAATAGTTCAAGTCTAATAATGCACGCAGTTGTTAGAAATTCATGTATCGCCTCACGCACGTAGCATCTTATCATGGTCACATCGTTGTACAATGTAGGAGCCCGTTCAGTTTATCTCGATGTCACTAAAAGATAAAAAAGGGAGGAGTTCAATCTCTTAGACCCCATTCCCACACCTAGATCGATCTTTCTGGATCGACCCATCTTCGGTATATGCCTTCTCAAGCTGTTAAACGATCATTAATTACCCACTAACAGCTGTTCAGTAGGCGTGCCAGACATCAGAGCCGCTTAGGCTGAAGGTAATTTAGCGAGAAACCCCTCGGAGATACATGTAGATCGATCCTGCTAAATCGATCTAGGCATGGGAATGGGGTCTTTATAAATAATGGAAGAAATACATGTTATAAAACAACAGCGACGATAATAACTAGAGGATCAGAGAGGCGATACCGCCTCCGAGTATTGCACCACCAGCTGGAGTAAGCGCATTCGTATAGAAAGCAAAAAAGGGAGGACACCTCCTCTAGAGTTGTGCTTGAAAAGATCTACAAAATGCAGTAGACAGGAGCTCTCTTTTTTATTGAAAATTACAATTTATAAGGGAGAAGTAAAAAGTATAATCCAAATTTGTGAAGAGGGGTTCATGGCTGAAAGTAGGTCAAAGGTCAAATTCAAGATCACAGGAAGACTGTCAATATATTCAAGTTCAGTAACTTATCTATGGGCATATCTGTGGAGATATAACGGACACAAAATTTGCACAGTTCAATTCATCGCAAAAAGTAAGCCAAAGGTCAATTTCAAGGTCACAGGTAGAAAATTTCCCCATAATACCTTCGGTTTGGGAGATATTTCGCACTGAATTTTGCAATTTTTGGATAAGGGTGCATTGCGATGAATGCCACGCCTAGACCAGCCCACCGACAAAGCCCAAAATTTACGTGGCATGAGATGAGATTATGTGTGACCTAAATCCAAGAGATGAATACACAAGCCCGTTTAGTCTAGGAGGAGAATCGGTAACGGTGAAATGGCGGCGGAAACGGCGGAGCCGGCAGACGAGCCGGATCGGGACCAAAACCATGTGTACCGCCAGCGCCGCGCTGGGGGTACAATGAATGAAGAAAAGTTTTCCTTAGGAGCCCAGTGTTTACTCCACTCTTATGTTCATGTCAAATATTTTAGACAATTTCAAATGTTTTATTTTTAACATATTAAGCAATGCCATAATTTGCGCATGCATTTGCAACAATTTCATCAACAAGTCGAGTATTTCAATAGTAATCAGACCATTGGAGACCAAAGCCGTTTATGAGACCAGTTTCAGAACCAAAACATATCCAAATGGAAAACGAAAGTCTTATTCTCCAAAAATCCAATGAACTGTTCTTCTTTTTAAAAGTAACTGCAATGCAGGTTTGAAAAAAGAACGGCATCAAAAAATAATCTTGTTATTATCACTTTCAATATTATTCAAAACTTACGTGTGCGTTAGGGAAGTTAAGGACCGTACGATATACATGGGTATATCACCAGAATTATCAGGTGCGCCAACTCGTTTCCCACACCTATGGCGCCAACCAGGAAGTGAAGTGGAAAAATATAGATCAGTCCTTTTTATAAGAAAAAAAATGGTGGAGCTTGCGTCGACTCGATTTTAAGACCAATGGCAACAATTTAGAAAGTTAAAGAGAAAAAAATTGCTTCAGCAAATATTGTCCTTTTTATGACTACAACTTCAAAGATAGTAATGTGTACATAGTGAAAGTTGAGTGTAAGCTAATGCTGACCAGGGCCCCATAACTCGAAAGCATCGCGCATTGCTACCGAGCGCAAGCGTCTCTACAACATTGGTCAAAAAGGTTGTCCCACCCCTAGTATCATGCGCTTTTATTTATAAATGATCACCTCACAGGTGAAATTTGTTATAAATAGCGATTTTCATTCCAGATACCAGTACTAACATGATTAATGGAACAGAAAATACAAACTAGCGGTGAATATATCTATATATTATACCATTTATTCAAATTTTAACATGTACCTATGGGCGGCGGTTTATACAAAAATGCAAAACACGATTAGTCGTCATCGTTATCAGATCAGTCGAAATGAAAACACGATTAGTCGTCGTCGTTATCAGATCAGAAGGCAAAATACGACTAGTAGTCGTCAAAACGCAACTAGTCATCAAAACGCAACTAGTCATCAAAACGCAACTAGTCATCATCAAAACGCAACTTGTCATCATCAAAACGCAACTTGTCATCAAAACGCAACTTGTCATCAAAACGCGATTTGACGCCAGATGGCGCCCATTGTACGAAAATCTAGGCCAAGTCACATGATCCACAGTGATCAAAATGGCGGACGTTATTGAAGCAGCATTATCATATTCCTCGCTCGAACTCGAGAATTATCTCGAGTTCGAGATATTATTATATATATAATATCATTATTAGATTGTACGCGTAGAGATAATTCTCGAAATAATAAATAATTAAATAATTTATTAAATAATTTGGACATGTTATAAATTAAAAAAAAACAAAAACACACACTTGTGAAGCACTGCTTTATTGTTGTACTCATTTCACAAGTTCCAGATATTATTATATATATAATATCATTATTAGATTGTACGCGTAGAGATAATTCTCGAGTTCGAGCGAGGAATATGATAATGCTGCTTCAATAACGTCCGCCATTTTGATCACTGTGGATCATGTGACTTGGCCTAGATTTTCGTACAATGGGCGCCATCTGGCGTCAAATTGCGTTTTGATGACAAGTTGCGTTTTGATGACAAGTTGCGTTTTGATGATGACTAGTTGCGTTTTGATGATGACTAGTTGCGTTTTGATGATGACAAGTTGCGTTTTGATGATGACTAGTTGCGTTTTGACGACTACTAGTCGTATTTTGCCTTCTGATCTGATAACGACGACGACTAATCGTGTTTTCATTTCGACTGATCTGATAACGATGACGACTAATCGTGTTTTGCATTTTTGTATAAACCGCCGCCCATATGTACCCCCTTTAATCCGACGTTTCACTGTGATTTTCACAGAGGCAAAGAAATGTCCATTATACTGAAAAGACACCACCAAATATCACCGTTTTTACACACATTTAGCATTAGGGTGTGCTTGTTAAATGTCATTATCTAATAGCGTGTGTAATTATTTCCTGTAGGCGGCGCGGCCTGCCTTCAACATTGATAACAATTCTGTTTTGTGGGATATTGCCCCATTCTTTCAAAAGAGCTTGGGAGAGTCGGTTCAGATTATTAGGAGTTTGGTTCTCCTTTGCATTGCATACTTTATTTCATGCCACAGATGCTTAGCAGGGTTAATATCAGGGGTCAAAGATGGTTGCCCCATCCTCTAAACATTGGGTTTCTGCAACAAATCACTCAGCAGACGAGGACTGTGTGCAAGTGCATTTCCGCGATGACACCTGTAGTATCCCTGAAGTCACCTCTTGCAAATGGACTGAGATATTTTTTGAGAATGTTTCAGTGAATTGCCCGAATAACGTTCTTTTCCGGAGAGAGCAATGTACTAAAACCGTGGGCTATGAATGCTCTCCAAACGTGGACTGACCTGACACCTCAGGCGATATCATCCTGCACACAAATTACAAAAGCATTCTGCAACATGTATACGGGCCCTAATTCGACCATCGAAGGCATAGAAGAAATACCTTGATTTTTCAGCAAAACCAACTTGTACCTAATGATGGTTAACCAAGTTCAGCTGGTAGTTCTGTGGTCACTGAACCTAACATTACCAACTGATACCTCATTCCGTCTGCAAGATGTGACTCCAAGTGTGATTCAGGCTTCACCATGACAGCACACTTGCTCACAGTTTTCGTCAACTGAGTGATTTGTTGCAGAAACCCAATGTTCTGAGGCTGGAGAAACCATCTTTGAGCCCTGATAATAAACCTACTGAACACCCGTGGCATGAACTGAAGTGTGCATTCTAGAGGAGAACCAAACTCCAATTCCGCCAAGCTTTTTAGGAAACAGGGGACAATGTCCCACAAAATAAAATTGTTACCCTTGATGAAGGCAGCAGCGCCGTCTGCAGGCGGTAATTACAGTACCCGTGTACCATGAAAATCTGACTCCCCTAAAATGTGACTCCCCAGTCAGATTTTCATAATGAAAATGTGACTCCCCCCGTGAAATTTTGACTCCCCCCCCCAAAAAAAAAAAAAAACATTCATTAATCTCAATTTATTTGAGTAAATGACTATGATCTTGTAGTTTGCATAATGGAGGATACATTGACACTTTTTTTGTAGTTTGCAGGTGAAATTTTTCATGAAAAAATAAGAAAATTAAACATGTGCACATAATGACTCCCCCATGAAAATTTGACTCCCCCTCCAACAAAACTTAATAAATCTTATTTTATTTTGAGTATATGACTGTGATCTCATTTCATTTGAGTAAATGACTATGATCTTGTAGTATGCATAACGAAGGACACATTGGCACTTTTTGTTAGTTTGAAGGTGAAAATTTTCATGAAAAAAAAATT